TCAATTGTCCATCACAACTTGCTCTTTTTGTGGTTGGGCGAGTAGGCCCAAGGGATGGTTCAAGCTGATACAGTTGCACTCCTCCTTACCACCAATAACACTTCTGAGGACCCTTTCCAAGAAGGCCCCAAGGACATTTCTTGGTGGGCGAATGGTGGGAGGGCATTTGGTTCTTTCTCTGATATGTAACTGGTTTGGCGCTGCAAGACTGGGTTTAAATGCACAATGTATAGCAAAACTACTGTATTTCTGCGGGCATGTCACACATGCGTAAGCCTGCATGCATAGGCCTGCTTTATGGGGAAAACTGTACAGTTCAGGCAAACGGGAGTCACTCCGAGATGCGATTCCGAATGCCCGCGCCGGTTTCCTTTGCAGGTTGGACAAAGGAGACAATGCAAGCAAACGACGCCAGGGAACCTGAGCCATCACCGGTCCCAGACGCGAAAGCCCGGAGCGCGCCACGCAAACCTCCCCAGAGGCTCTCGCAGCAAAAGAACTTGGCCGGGACTGTGCCCAAACCAGTTTCCCGTTCAGGTCTTCCAAGCACATGAGTGCATGTCGTCCAACCCAAGATCACACCAAAACGAAACTCACACTTGCCACTTGGTCCAGAAGGTGAGACTTAAAGGCCATTTTAAGGACATATGCAATGATATATGTATCTCTATATATATATATCTACATGTATACCACAGAACAACATGCAGCCTGAAGTCGAAAAACTGAGGAAGTGAGTCAAGGTTGAACTCATCTCGTTCTACGTCATACAACTGGTCATACCAAGGTGGAAGTCTAACTAGCCCGTTGTATCTTTGAAGGAACTCCCTTGGTCTCACCGAACGCTTGCCCAACAGCGGATTTAGAATAAGGGTATGTGTCAAGTAGGGAGACCCCGCCCAAATGATGGCTTTCCGATCGGTGTCCTGTTAAGCCAACCCAAAAAGGGTTCCTGTAAAAGACACACACCTATATATATATATATATATTGTCATTGGCCGGTAGGGAATGTTCTCAGGATCCTCCCTGGCCCGGAATCCAATTCACAAACTATGGAACCTTCATGGTGAGCTCGTTTTACCCAGTGAACTCCCTATAGTTGCCCCAAATCCATCCAGGAACATGCTTGAAACATGGATTTCGTGGAAAAGGGCGAAATAAACCAACCCTTTTGAACAAATACCCGGTTTTCAGCAATAAACAAACCAACAAAGAAACCAACCGAACACCTGCTTGTTGTCTGACAACAACACAGAACCACGTTCCACTGCGTTTTTCCCCTATGGAACGTCCGCAGCCAAGTTCGGGCTTTCGGGCTTTCGGGCTTGCGGATCGAGTGATCAGATTGAAGCGTAGCACCTGACTGTGGTGTTGGGCGCTGGACGGCCATTTCTTGCATGGGTTTGCCCCAAAAATGGTTGGTGTCCGTGTACCTTGCCTTAAAAAATAGTGAAAAAGGGGTGCCCGCGGATCCCTCATCCAGTTCTCCGAAATCCGTAGCGGAACGCCTGTGCAAAGCCAAAACCTGGGGTGAGCGCTCCCTCCATTGCATCGCTCCCATGGGGGCAAAGCGCCGTTATTGGAGGTCCGCGCGTCCCAAAAAATGGGTAGGATGGGGCCCACGGCCCCCAGAAATCAACCAGCCTATGACAACTGCTCCCCGAAATAGCCTCAGAATTGCCAGACCTCCAGTGGCCAGGGGAAGAGGAACATATCTGGTGGTTGCTGATGTTCAAGGGGAACCTCCTTCCGAAACAAGGGACACCAGGGCACCAGCGGAGGTGACAGTTTGCGTTGTTCAGAATGGGGAATTCATCATCCGATTTTCCGAAACTAGTAGTGGGTAGTGATTGGAACACCACCATAACCAGGGAAACCACTACCATCTGGCACAAAGCCATAACAATCCTGCGTGGATTTTGAAGCCAAAGAGCGCAAGCCCTCTGACACTCCGAGCCTGGGTCGCCACTCCTCTCGCAACCGCTTGACCTGGTGCGCGATGTGTGATCCCGATCCCGTTCCCGGTTTGCTCGGTGAGCTAAAACACTACGCACATGGCTCGTTTGTTTGAGGCTCGGTGCCCGCTTAGGTTAGCTTAAAGGGAGACCAAGAGGGAAACTGAAGCCCATGTTGGGGGCCGCCTATTCTCACGGTAAATGCTGACCGCTATGAATTAAACTGCACCATGTGTGTCTTGTGAGCATGGAACCAAGCAGAAGATACCTATACTTACCACAGCTTAGCAGAATTGTGAATGGATGAAACACATGAGTGTGCCTTTTGATAGCGGACCCTTTGGTGGACATCATGGTGGGGATTCAAGTCCACCACTTGTGGGGAGGGGGGTCCTGTGAAAATTCATAGCCACATCCTGGGATACACCATCTACCAACCGGTGCAGGACTTGCTCGATCCACAGCACCTGGCCAAAAAAATGAATTGGTATGGGTCTTGGAAGAGTCTTTCCCTTCTTCACCGGCCCAAGACAAGAGATCCTCAGCGTCGAATGCTTGCACCTGGGAAAAGTGAACTGCTTGGCTTTGCAGTTACTTTGCGGTGTGCACTACATTGCCTGCCTCTGCCTTTTGCCTTCAAACAGGTCGGGGGTGGAGCATTTTTTGTCCATCGCTAGAGTGGAAGAAACTTCCTTACATACTCACCCATCTTCGAAGCCGTCCTTGCCCGACAGCACTTGTCTCTCGCTGACCAATTCTTCGGTAGGATGCCAACAAGGGCCCATGGCTCCAAATGAGGAAAGGGACCCCAAACTCGGGCCCGGTTTCCTTTGGCTCCCCCTCAAAGCCAAACAAGGAATCCCCAAAACGATCCCCGCCAAAGAAAAATACCGCCTTGTCAATTACCCAAAACCCAGGCGAGGCTTGCAGTGGGTATGTCTTTTTTTTGAGGGTATATACTCCACTTTGCGGTGCGGTTTTAAGGAACAGAAGGACGCCACCCTCTTTGAGGCCCAAAACCAACGACAAGCGCGCAGACCTGCGTTGGCCATGGACGCCAACGAGAGTGACCCACACCTCGCCTTGAAGCTGAGGAGCATCTTGTCCTTCATCTCGCGGATCATCTCAAGCCTCGCGTTGGTCCCAACGGTCACTGACCGGCTCTCATAGCATCCAACCCGCCCCGCCCCAAGTTCGGCCTTATTGACTTATTGGAGTCTTATGTTGGGGAACCGGGGCAGGGTGGCTGCTGGGGGAGGGGGCACGCTATGACTCTATAGCCAAGGGAATAGCATTGGGAACACTCATGTTGCAGCTAGAAGATGAAGGTTGCTCTCCTACCAATTCGCAGAAAGCCAAAACAGGGTCACCCAAAAAGAGCGTACAATTTTGGGCTTTTGAGTTCCATGTTAGTGTGCAGGTTGCCCCCGCTAGGATATGCCTTCCCAAATGGGTTTCGACACACACGCAAATGCCCATGACCAAAATGGCCGTTTCAAGCTCCATGCTTTCCGGTCTTTGTCTCAGCCCAGTGGCCATGGGCCACAAAAGGGGGGCACACTGTTTTAGCCCATCTCAAAAGGCGAAAAAGAACAAACAAAAACAAAACGCCCTCCCTTCTGCTAATCAGGGGATCCGGGTGCCACTGAGCGACTCCGGTCGACTCCCCGAAGTCACTGAGTCACTGGCACTTCGGTGTGTCCGTTCACCGAGAGGAGTTGGTCCCCTGACCGAAGCCGCGAAATGCGAAATTCGCGGCTCGAAGAGCTTCCCAGGCCTCAAGTACCCTCTTTTACAGGTGGTACCCTCTTTTGCAGGTGGTACCCTCTTTTGCAAGTGGTTTTGAAGGAAACAACACATGTAAGGAAAACATCTGAAGAAAAGCACTGAACCATATTCCTCCCGAAAACCAAAGCTGAACAACTTCCCCCCCAAAAAAACATCTGAGAGGAAATGCTCCACGGACCTGAAAGTGACACCCACCCCGCCTGGACGGATGGCGCGTCGCCTGGGGCGGCGACTTCGCATGAAATATATGGTGAAGCTCGGTGGCCATGAGAAAAATCGGGAATACGTTTGAGTTGGTTGATGTTACATGATGTTACAGCAAAGCCCTTCCCAAAAACACCAAAAAAGGGAGGAAAGGGATGGAATCCACTGGGCAACTTAGCTGTTTTTGGACTTAGTGCTGCAAAAAAGCCTCTATGATCAAAAGCCAGGATTGGATCTGTCATGTTTTGTCAAGAGAAAAGGGTGGGTCAGCGCGAAATGGGCTCTTGCCTTCCGGCACTTCTTGGGTTTGGGTGGACCCCTTCAGTACCAGACGTTGCTTGTGACTCATTTGAAACAGCTGGGCAATAGCTCATGCCAAGCAAAAAGGGACCAATCGAGGCAATCCCTGGCCCAAGTTCGAACATGGAAACTGATGCAGGGGCCGATCATTGAAGTGCTTCGACTCATGGTGTTGTTTTTTGAGAAAGCCATGGGTGCCATTTGTGGGGTTGTGAAGGGAAGACGAACCCCCTTCAGAACCTAAAGAGAAACGAGAACCCCACATGTTCGAGGCTTACACATTTTGCAACCGCAGCTGGAAGTGTCTTCGCACGATCCAGGGGTACACCACTGATGCGATCAAAAGATGGGTGGGAAAGGCAAACGAAAAGAACCAAGCCAAGCTTCTACCCTTCTGTTTTCTTCATATTTTTGGACTGGCCACAGGAGCAACCCGGATGCTTTGCTTTTTTCCCCGCATCGGTCACTCACCCAGGCATCTACTTGGTGAGATGCCCTTCTCGCTAACAGAAAGAAGCCAGACGCCAGTCAGCGACATCTCCACCTCGGGATCTTACTCCAGAGGTCGAACGGCTGAACCAGGCTGTCGATCTGCCGCTCTTGCCTTACTGGATTGTCGATCTCTGGCTAAAGATTAAGCTCTTACTGGGATGTGCGATAAATCCAACTCTAAACTCTATCCAACTGGAAAGCCAAAAGCGTATGGCTGGGAACCGCCAAGTTACGATCAAGTCCGCTTCGCCAAGGGCGGGGTCATGGCTGCCCACAACCTCCCGACCAAGTCCAAATCCCACTGGCGAGGTTCCCCAGCACTGCGCATTGGCCGCTGACAATGTCGATGTCCTGAGGCCGTCCGACGTCTGCATCGAAAGCCACGTGGGCTGCAAAATTCTCTTACCACAAGACCGCCCTTGGGCATCGCGGGGCTCGTACCCCAATGCACATGCCCCCCTGTTTAGCAATAAGACGAGGTGGGGTGCATGATCGCAAGGAACATGACAATTGTCATAGGGCTCCAACCCCCCTGCTTGACGAAGATCCTATAATAAAGTCCTTCAGCCTCCTGACTCAAAAGCAACGCTCGACCCAGAGTTGTTGACCCCTTGAGAAAGAAGGGGATCCTTGCGCGCAGATTTAAGACTCAAGGGGTTGTCGTATTTCACCCAGGCGGTCAAAAAAATACAAATCTCGCCACCAAGCTGCGGCGGTAGGAGTAGAGTCGCAGTTCGTCTTTGCGAAATACCTCACTTGCTGAGATGGAACATGGCGTAGGGTTGAACATGCAATGCTTCAAAAGTGGCACCTGCCAAAACCGAACCACCGAACCACCAACGAAACCGAACCCGTAAAACACCAGCGAAACCACCGAATGCCAAAGCGACAGCCGGAAGTGCAGCTTGGAGTTGTCTTTGCACTCGTAGAAGACCGCGGCTTGGTCCTCCTCCGAGAAGGAGCCTGGGAATGCGACGATAAGCAAATCTGCCTTATAAGGAAACCAACGCCCCAACAAAGGCTATCCATGTTGTTTCCTGTCAGACCAACCGACCAACCCCCAAAAAGCGCACCCTCAAAAAGACGAGCGTTGAAGTTGCATTCTTTTTCCGCTTGAATTAACCTGCAATAGAATGGCCCGCCCGGAAAAAAACAAAAAAACTCTACGTTGTGCGCTTTGTTTCGCTAGCTTCCAAGCCAAAACATGTGTCTTGGTTTGGTTGGTCTGGCTTGGTTGTGTATCCCCGTACCCCTCATTGATGGCTTGGCTTACAATTGTTTGGCTACCAGCTAATCAAATTTCAATCGGCACCAGTTGGGGGGGGGGGAAGTCAAAACCACCAACTGGTGTTAGAAGTCATTGGGTCTGGTTTGCTTTAAACAACATACGCCCCTTGAAAGTTCGGGGTCAACAAAACCATCAGGGTCAAAGTCTGCCCTGCTGTTTTGTGTTGTCTGGTTACATCCATAGTTGCATTCGGACCAGAAACCGTATCGCCAAGGCGCAAACGCCCAGGGGAACCTTGGCCTTGTCAATGCTCTTGAACTGGCGCTCGCACTTCTTATCCTGGGCCAATCAACTCAGAAAGTTTAAGAAAAGCTTCTGAGCCGCTGAATTTCAGTAGAAAAGAAATCGTTAACCCGTCATAACACAACCCCTGGCCCTGGCCTGCCTTTTCGAGAGGATCTTCCGAATTTCTCCCATCCGGTGGGTTCGGAGAGGAAACCTCCAGTTGCAACTGGCAACTTGGTATGGGAGGAGGGAAGTCGCGAGGGGAAGAAGGTGGAATCCTCTGAGCCGGGAGAAGGTGGCTGGCTAAAAGGCTCCAAGTCCCAATTATATCCGTGTTTTTGGGGTAAATATCAACCCAAGGGACACATCCAATACCCTTCCACTAAGATGGAACCTGGTTGGAGGCGGAGGGCCATGGTGGGTGTGTCTTGCAGGGGACCCCAACAAAGTTGTTCCTCTTGCAGGGACTTGTCCGCTTCCATGACGGGACGTGCTTTTGATATCCAGGCGTCTGAGCATAACTTGGCCGTGAGGGTCACAGATGCTGCACTGGCGTGCGCGGGGAAAAGCGGCGCCGCAGCTGTCATCAAAGACCTGGGAAACAAACCCGAGCGAAGAATCCGCTTTTAACCATCCGATTGTCCATTTAAATCTTCTCAAGGCTTGATTTTGGATCCTCAAGATCTTCCAATCTTAAACGCTACCTCACTCCCAAGCATGGCTCTCTCAGGGGGTGGGGCTACCAGAAAACTATGTGTATTTGTTTGCTTCTTCCAACGACTCTATACATGTTTAAAACAATAAGACATGAAACCCTCGAACAGTTCCTGGCACCCCCACCACTCCCAACAACTTACCCATACACACACACACGTCCCTTATTGGTCTCCAGGGGTTGAGGTTTGGGCGGCTTAAACAAAGGGGACCCCACATAATGGCTGATGTGCTGCTGGTGCTCCGTGCCCAAGTGGAGGTTTGTCGACCCTCCCGCTACCCAAACTCAATCTAAATCTGGGTCTGTCCTTTTTCAAGGGTACCCTTGTCGGGGTTGCTTGAAGGGAAACCAAAGGGAAAACCACAATTGTTGGCGTCCCTTATGGCACATCCCCCAGTATTAGGGGCCAAATCATCAGAATATGGGTTTGGGGTGCCCTAAAACCAAATTAAGTCTAGTTCTTGAGCCCAACTTTTTCGTGTTTCGGGGGGGCGCCCGCAAACGACCAGGTTTTGAGACTTCCAACGCCCTCGGCGGGGTCTGGGTTCTCCATAAGCCACAGCATCCAGGCTCCTATATCATTTGCCATGGCTTTTAAACAATCTATATTTTATTATACGTACATAGAATCTGCATTTGCTAAAACAACTTGCATTGGGTTGGTATAACAAACAGGTCTTTATACCACGACTTGGGGTTGCTCTACACAGCCCGACCATCCGTTGCCATCGGCCGCGAGGCATCCACTGGCGTCGCGAGGCCCTGACCGCATTTTGCACCGACGAGCCGAGGTCGTTGGGCGCGAGCCATGCCATGGAACACACGGAGGCCGTAGAAATCGCGGCCCACCTGCAGACCCAAAGGGCCCTGAGCTTTTTGCTTTTTGTGGGGGGATGCTTCTTCCCTTTAAAGGGAAACACAAAGGAGAACCACAATCTTTCTTTTTTTTTGGCAGGGGCTGATTTGTCCTTTGGGAAACCAAAAGGAAAACCACCAAACAATGGAGCAAGACTGCAGTTTTGGTCCCGTGCGTGGGCCATATGTAGGATCAACCACCCCACGGGCACTTTGTAACTGGAGATACTCGCCAGGTAGGCCCACATAGAAAGTCATCCCCACTACTAAGTGGGACCCCCTGATTCATCCCAATCGTAGTTTATTAATTAAGAGTCGCCAATTACGGCCTTCCTTTCGATCTCGTGTTCCCTTGAAACCAACCCCCAAGAATGAAGGGCGCCCCAAAAAAAGCACACGCACACGCATTACCCAAAAGGTATCCGCGTGTCTCACAGGCTGCCTGTTCAGTATGCTCAAATCCAGCTTTCTTTGGAAGATTGCCCAGTCGCTTCCATGTGCAAACAGGTATTTTGATTTTTGGCTGATCACTTTCATGCTATCTTGGGCTTGGATGTGTGCCGCAAATACCGAGCTTGTGTGCCGTACATGCCGAGCGCATGCAGCAGGCTGGAAAGTGCGAAAATAGTTGTTCACTTTCAATGGAAACTAAATAATCAAAAGGGAAGTGGAACTGCCATTCAACTACTGTAGAATTCGTATCCGAAGCAAGGAGACCAAGCCAAGTTTGTGGCTCAGCCCAGCCATCTGGAAAGAAGCGCTCCCTTCGTTGGTCGGTTGATCTTAAACGAAAACCCTTCCCAAGGCAAGGAGAATCACTGGGCAACCGGGGTTTGTTGCAAGCCGCTTCAGGAAGAGCAGAAACGCCGCCATAGGCAGGATCCTCGAACTTGCGCGGCTCATGGGGGGACGCTGGAACTGGAGCCAAGTGCTGCACGCAAAACGTGGCCACGGCCACTATGCATGTCGTATCAACTCAACAAAAGACATTTGGCAACACAAGCACGAACGAGGAGAGAGCCCTAACGCATACCCGAACGGACCACCTACAGGCCGTTGTGCCCTGCGTATCCAGGGCCATATCCGGGGTACGTGGTTGAGCGCCTGAATGGGTGTGCGCTAGCCCTTAGAATGCCATAGATCTATGTTAGGTTTCAGTTCCCTGTCAACATCCTGGACTGTATCCCAGCACAGCTTCTTTTATTTCTACTTGTTATTACTATGTTATCTTACTCTCTGTCTTTTTGGGGGGATGGGTTGTACTGCTAAAAAGTTGCCACCCACATAGAATCAGGCCTAATGATTCTTCCGACCACTCCCAGTCGGCCGGTTTCCCCACGCAATTTTCAGTTCTCAGCCTTTTGATATCTTCGCAGACTCTGCGGCTTTGTACATATCTCGTTGCTCATATCCCTTGGGGGAAATAACCCCGAAAAGCGTCTTATTGTTCATAGCATATCCTCGCCGCAGTGAGAATCAGGGAACTAAGGGTGTGCACCATCTTAGATGCTACTCAGGCAATCTCAAAAGCCGAAGGTTGAACATCCTGTTCACAGAGACAGCGCAAAGCCAATTGCCCCAATGGCTGGCCGTAAACATGGGACTCGGGACAAAAACAAACCCAGAACCAAGCAGCCCAAATCAAGCTGAAAACCGGGTCCAAAACGGGCTGTTTGCTCTCGCCTTTTCGGAAAATGAAATTAATCCCTACCATAGACATATTTTGCACGGGGCTGCCTTTTACACCAAGACAGGTCTTTGGGCAAACCCTGCCTTATCATCCGTTCAGGTTGGTGCTTGGGTGGGGTTCCCATGCCAACTAGATTCTCTCCGACTCATTCAAATCGGCGCTGGGGCCGCCCGGCTCCCAGCTGCCAGCACACAGCTTGTTCCACGAGGGGATGGCTCCCGTAGACTTGATCGCCACCACCTCCCGACGTGAGCTTCCCAAAAAGTAAAATCGGGTACCCTCCCAAAAACCAACATGGAAACCCGCTCTCCTTGCAAGACAATGGTCTTCAAGGATCCCCTGTGCAGGTTCTATGCTTTTTTGGGAGGATATGCCCTTTATATACGTTATAGAGTGGTTGATACAAATGAGGCCTGCAAAGCCTTCTAAAACAAAATTCCCGACCATATTGCGACCAAAGATCAATGGGTAACCTAACCACACAAGGGTTGGCTGCTTCAAAACGCCAATGGACAAAATCCATCACCAGTTTGGAAGACCATTTTTCGATGTATTCACAGGGGTCCGCAGTAGTACTACCAGACAGAGGGGGGATCCAACACCAACACCCATCAACTTGCAAAACTGGAAGGGTAGCCTAGGCATTGCAGCAGCTCAAAAGTTCGGGCTATCCCTTTTTTAAGGCTGACAATGGTTCTCCATGAGGCAACCCCAAGTGGTGTATGCGCAACCTAAATCAATATTTGCTTTAAAGGCCCGCTGGCGAGTCGAAAGTTGCCCTTTTCCGTGGTAGTATTCTCCCCATCCAGAATCAGTGCCAAGCATTTAACTGCACCAATGCACAACCAAGTCTAAGCAGCCAGTTTCCAACATAATGCTGCGCAGCACGAGTTCTAAAATTCCAAATAGCACGGCACCCAGCACAGAGTAGTTCTGCCCAGTACGAAGCAATGCGAAAGCAGCAATAACTCTGCAAATCAGTAGCGGGCCAACAGAAACAGTACTGGAAAACTGGGTCTCTTCCGGATTCAAAAACCCGATTTGGTTTGAGGCATACAGCATGATAACGCATACCTCTGTTCGCACTTCCCCTTAGGCGCCTGTACTAAGTGCTGCGCCACATTACCTTCTACCGTGGTAAATGGATCCAGGAGTAGGCAACTGCTGTTCGCATAACTGCATGCGCCTTGTAGTCAACAGTTGGCCGTCTTTGGTTCAGATAAGCCTGTGAAAATATTCTGTGCCTCATGGAATCCAGTTGTGTCCTGATTTGGGCTTAAGAGACTGAACGCCCAAATCGCTTGCGCTGCGAATAAGGTGTAAGACACCCTCAACTTCCCCATGTGCGGCATGCCTTCAGCGGAGGCTGGTTGCCCTGGTGGGACACCTCGCGAGCGAAACGTACATGTATGGGATGAATTTTCGGCAGATCAAACAAGTAATGTGCACTTGCTTGGATCAACTGATATTGTGGCGATCATAAAGCTGGCTGCTGTTGCTATTTGAACAGTGGATACGAACCCTGGAAATGTTTAGGAACCCGCAGTCGTGTCTGTGTGGCTGGCCCCCCGTGTGCAACAAGTTCAGCGTTTTTCGCCCAAAAGTGTATGTAAGCTAACCAAACGGCACTACACCAGCAAGCGATAACTCTTTTATCCAAGCAATGTGTTGGTGCCAGGGACTCATCTTCCCCTGTCAGATGTCTACGGCTGGGTGGGCCCCATGGGCCACCCACCACAAACTCTCAAAAACTGAAGAACGGGTGTGCAGACTGATAGCGCCCGCCCCTGGGCCGGGGCCAGGGGCACCCAGGCCACAGGGGGGTCTGCCACCAGGGGAAGTGAGTCACCCACCGGCTCCGGTCACGGGAGCATGGGTGGGCCCACGCTAAGATCAAATGCATCTCCATTCAGGAGACGCGGGAGAAAAATGAACTCCTCGCAGAGTTCCTGTTTAGGAACTCTGTGCAAAGGGTCGAACCCCGAGAAATCTGGGTGCGTCAGCTCATCGGCCCACTGGTTGAATTCCCGGGGCACGTGGTTGGCCGCCAGCGAGCAGCCATGGGTGTGGAGCAGGAAGACCAGCTCCATCAGGATAGCCGCGGTGTAGGGCTTCTTGGATCCAAGGTTGAGCATCGCCATGACGTTGCCCTGATTGTCACTGCCCACCGGGAGTCGGACCCGGGAGGACAGAGGGCCTTGGTGCGTGAGGATCATGTTACAGAGGAAGAGCGTGCCCAGCATTTCCAGAGCCGCAATCCTCCGCTTGGGATCCCCATTCTTGAATGCCCACGGGTACTCCTCCACGTGGATCTGCTCGTGGAACCAGTACACCTCCTTCTTCTCCGGCTCCACTTTGTTGGAGCACCAGCCTCCCACAAATGCCAGTCCTTCATCCGAGGCGCTAGCATCGCTGCAACCCCACCAAGAGGACTTCGGCAAGTAAGGGGAGTACTGGACGAAGGGCGTGTTGAAGAGGAACCGCAGCATGAACGCCAGCATCCTGACCACCTTAGGGGGTTTCCCCACCGTGGTGGTGGCCATTTTCCAGGCCCACAGTGGCTGAAGCATCGACTTCGCCAGCGGACATGCAGCAGTTGCCCATTCAATGCGGCCCAGGGCCTTCTCGATGTCCTTTGAGTGCATCGCCTGCCCCATGATCTGCAAGACCTCCATCACCAGGATGTGTTTGTTGGCGGCCATGAGAACCTGCGGGATGTTCGGGTGGACCACGAAGCCCAGCCACGTGTTGACCTCCGCCAAATGTGTCTTCTTCCAGCTAAGCGGGGTGCCCAAGGCCAGGAGTGTTGCCAACAGCGCCACCATTCGTCGGCGCCCTGTTGAGGTGCTCATAGACCTCCCGTTGCCAGAAGAGGAAGTCGCCCCTGATGTTCTTGAGGGCTTCGGAGAGAGTGGTGCCCTGGTGCACCATCTCGTGAATCTTGCGCCATGCATTGCGCTCTGCAAACAGCAAGGTGGTGTCGCTCGGGGGAGGTTTCCTGCTGGCTATGTCCTCCCCATAGAACCAGGCATACCAGTCATCCAACTCCTCCTTGGTGACCCTCAGATTGCCAAATTGCGGCAGTGCTGCTGTGCACATCAGGAGCGTCGTCCTGAAGGTTAGGTGCAACCGTTCCAGCTGGCGCCGAGATGTAGGGTGGCTCCTCACCTCTTCTTCATCCTCCCTGTCCCAGCCGTCCACCGTGATCTTCTTGTGGGTGGATGAAGGGCGTTCCCCTTCTTCCGGGAGCGCGCTCACGATGTGTTTTGCCGGGATGTAGCCCAATTCGCCCTTGGCAATCATGCGCCATTGCTTCTTGAGGTAGCCATCACTACCCTGGAATTCCAACCTCGGCTTCGGGGCCCCATGCGTGGCCACGTAAGCATCTTCCAGCTGGCGCCTGTCACACAGGACTTCTAAGGGAGCCTTTATCGGGCCCGCATGGCCCGCCGGGTGGTCACCCTGGTTGCCCCCCCTGACCAAGTTTGCTGCCACCCGTACTGCCTGAAGGAGGCGCATTGCCGTGAAGGCCGAATCCATTCTCTCCATCCTGGAATCCCAGGTCCCGGGGACCATTTTCCCTGGCCGCAGCCGGGGTGTTCCAGCGATCCGCCAGGTCTTCCACCGTGACGTAGCCCGATGCGCCCAGTGCCGCTTGGATGACGGGGATTTCCTTGCCCACCAAGATGGCCGCCAGTGGCTTCTGCAACTTCGCCACGTCTTCCTTGATCGCGGCTGGGACCTCCTCCGGTGGTTTGGCGGGCGCCGCAGCCATGACCTCTTACCTTGGTGTGGGTGGGTGGGTTTTCAATCAGCTTGGGTTCCAGGAACCCAGAGCAATGCTTGAGCCAAAATGGCACATGCCATTATGGTCAAGCATTCCACACACAGTTCATGTTTCCACATGCGTTTCAACATTAACAAAGTGTATGTAAGCTAACCAAACGGCACCACACAAGCAAGCGATAACTCTTTTATCCAAGCAATGTGTTGGTGCCAGGGACTCATCTTCCCCTGTCAGATGTCTACGGCTGGGTGGGCCCCATGGGCCACCCACCACAAACTCTCAAAAACTGAAGAACGGGTGTGCAGACTGATAGCGCCCTTTCCGAAGGACAGTCTGGCACACCCGCCATTTCCGAAGGATGCCAGTCTGTGCTGAGGGCCCTGGCCAGAGTCCCCGCCTCAGGTGGCCAGGGCCGGGGGCACCTAGGCTTCCAAAGGTAGGGCCACCACCTCGGTCTCCGACTGGGTGTCCACCGAGTCATCCGTTTCAGAGCCCGAGTCCGCCGAGGAGTCCGAGTCCTCCTGCAGTGTGGGGACCTCCGCAGGCTCCAGTACCCAGTCCGCCGGGAAGCCGTACCTCTTGAAGCAGCGTTCGCACTTGCCATAGGCCTCTGGCTCCGACATGTAGTCCAGCACGGAGAGCTCCTGGGTCTTGGAGGCCGCCGGTACCCCACAGCCGTGCCTTCGTCATTCAGCAGGTGGATTCTGGCCTGACCGGCGTTGTTTGTGCGTTTGACTGCCGCAACAACACGAAGGGGGAAGTCCGGGGTGGTGGGAAACAGGTCCTTGGCCTTCACTGGTGTGTCCTCGGGTCCCTGTTCCACCAATGACCATGAGCGAGTCGATGGTGCGCTCCCTGAGGGTACCGTGGGGGACGCCTCCCCTTCCCCTTCAGTTTGGTCCTTGTGGCCGTCCGGTCCATCCGTGATTTCTGCTGCGGCGGGAGCGGGTCCGCCCAGTCCGGGTGGTTCAAGTCCTCCCTGCGTTCCCTGCCTGGCCCGAGGTTCAGGTTGGGGACCTTCTGCGCTACCTGGCCCCAAATCTCCACAACGACATTGCGCTTCTCCCGCACATAGACGTCTGCTGTGCTCTCTGTGAGCCAGTTGCCTAAGTACATGCGGCGCTCCCGGGGGAGCCCCATCTGGAAAGCGCAGTCCGGGATGAACACTCGGAATGAGTGCCACGTCAGCGGCTTCACCAACCCCAGGGTCACTCCCCGCCGGAGAAGAGCATCCTTGAGCCATCTCAGAGCCCTTTCTGGTGCGGAAGGTCTCGGGATCAGCCCGGCGAAGTCTTTGCTCGCTGTCGGGAGCAAGTAGTCCATGTCCTGGAATGCCTTCTCGGATACCAGTCGCCGGACCGTGGCCACCCAGGTAAGCTGTACTTCGGAGCAATCAAGGGGACCGGGTTGCGGTTGATTCGTGCTGCTGAGACCGTCTTGGTCTGCCAGGCCTTCAGCTCCACGGTGTTACTGGTGTGGATCAGGTCCTTAGGGTGAACATGCTGGAGGTCATTGAAACGAGCGCTGCACCCTACTTGGAACCGGGCGAAACCCAGGATGAACGCGTCCAGTACCTCGTGTCTGCTCCTCCCCGGGGCCGCCTGCGTACCGGGGCCGGTGGCACCCAGGTGATCGTAGCCAGCCCCTTCCTCCAGAGCCCATATGACCTCTTTGCTGGGGACCACCGCCTTGCGCTGCGGCCGGGTGACCGTGTCCGTGAGTGCCTCTTCCAACGAGCTCTTCTTGGACTTGAGGCGATGGAGCTCGTCTATCTTCAGCATACCGAAGGTCTTGGAATACCATTTGAGGGTGTTCCACACCTGCCGTAGCTTGTACGGGGTGACCTCCTCTTCGGCGAGCTGGTTGAGGAGAGAGCGGACATGTCGTTCCTGCCAGGGAATCACCGTGAAGCCTCTCTTCCGGAGACTCTCGTAGACCAGGCAATGCTGCCTGAGTGTCCGGAACCTATTGTCCCCCAGGAGGTCCAATGCCTCCTTGCGGAAGTCCTCCCCCAGGATGTCCTGCATGTACGTTCCGCCCTCCGCAAACGGGGCAAAGTGGGCGAGGAGCCGTTCCGCCCATTTCCCGCGCATATGGAGTTCCAGCGCTCGCTGGGTCGTGGGCTCCATTTCCCTTATTTTGCCCGGGCGCCAGTGCCTCCACTTCAGAAGCTCCGGTTGTTGGAGTGGGGGTGGGTCATCTTGTGAGAACCACCCCAATTGGTCCTGGCGGTCCCATTCATTCTCCAGCGGGGAAAAGTCCTCGCTCGGCTTGCCATCCGCCGTCGCCAGGAGGAGGAACCATATGCTGTCCCACAGGTCGGCCAGGCCCGCCGCGGACAGAGGCTGGGGAAGCCGGACCAACAGCTCCCCGTCCGTCTGTCTTGGGGAGAAGGACTCATCCGCCAACGTGTCCCATAGGACCCTTGGAATGCGGTCCCAAAGACGTGTGTAGGGCGGACGCATAAGAAACTTGGTAGATACCCTAGCCATGATGAAAAAGGGGGTTTTGAGCCTCCTATCGAACCGCCGGGACCCAACCGCGGCACAATGCATGCATGCTCCAACCTTGCAGAATGCAGAGTGCAGATGGAGCAGGCAGGCCACACGCATCCCGACACGTCCCCCCCAAAGTCGCGAGATTTTAACAGGGAGAGGGGGGGGCGCGACCCAAAATCAACCCCCCAGAAACCCCCCAAAAGCACGGAGGGGGAGACCGACCAGGTGGGGGATTCCGGATTCCCCAAAACCTCAAGGGGACCTCAAGAAAACCATGAGTCGGCCGCAGCCACTTTTTCCGAACCGTGGCTGAGATGGCCCGTCCTTGGGGCAGCTAATGCATGTGGCCTCATGGTCGAGGAGATCAAGCTGCCGTGACGTGGCTCCACTGCCATGCCACCGGAAAAACCCACGTGCGCCACCAAAATGGAATAAGAGAGGAAACAGTGGTGAAAACCGAACCCAATAAGGAAGACATTTCCCCCCCCCCGGAGACGGGGCCAATGGCACCCAAGTCCCGGGAGGAAGAGATCACACGACTCCCACATCCGACAGGGTTGTGAGACAAAACCTAGCGGCTCCCTTTTTTCAGGATCGCCTCCTTCGCCTCCGAGTGGATTGCCGCCAGCCCCGACTTCTCCGGGTTGCTCAGGATGACCGACCACAAGGCCGTGGAGACATCCCCCACCGTTCGAGGAGCTGAAGCGCATGCGGGGGGTGCTCGCGTCGCCCAGGACCAGCCGCTTATTCCTAGAAGGCTCCTTTAACTCCACCCTCTTGTAGAACTCCATCCGATCGCGGATCCACTGATTGTACAGCTGCTCCGGGGGCTCGTCCATCACCAACCCTGTGCCACCCCGTGATCTGGAGCAGCCTGGTCCCCCCGCGGCTCGCCTTCCAAAAGACCTTGCAAAATCTGCACATATAGCCCTGCGTGGTCTTGAACTTTTCCTTGCTCACCACTTCCCAGGCACTGATGCTTGGCAAGACCAAGCCACACTCCACGGAGCCCCAAAACACATGCTTCGCCTCTTTGGGGAAGTGCTTGACGTACTTTTGGCCCGCGACCGCCGTCACCGTGGCCGTGGTGATGGGCGGGTACCGCCTGGTGCCCTGGTCTGGGGTGCGGAGCGTGGTGTCTGCCCCCCCCAGGACCTTGGCCTTTGGGTCCGCCTCCTTGGCCGCTCCCCCCCCGGGGCCAACGGCACCCAAGGGGGGGGAGCAACCCAGCTGCCGGATGAGGTCCTGGGAGTAGCCCAACCTGTCATACAAGGCCCCCGCGCCTCCTGCGGGACCTGCTCGACCCAGTCGTGGACCACATTGCAGCGCCAATTGACCTTCACCTCCACCATCGACGACTTGCTCAGGCCCGCCACCAACTTGGTGTAGACCGAGTCGAAGGCCTTCAGCGAGGCCAGCGGGAGGGTGATCCGTTCGTCGCAAATTGCCCTGAACCGCAGCGCCTCCTTACTGTCATGGATGGGGGCCACCGGCATCTCCATCACGGGCAACGGGCAGTTCACGATGAAATTCTTTGCCGCCAAGAATGTCCCCATCTCCTTGAAGATGTAACTCCACTCCTCCTTGCTGTGCGGCTTGGGGATGCCCAGGCTCTCCAGGAAGGGCACCGCCTCCTTCCTCATCTGGATAATGTTGCCCATCCACTTGTCCGAGGTCAAGCCCTCCGCATTGCGGCCCCGGCGTTGCGTCTTCACAATCAACGGGAAGGTGGTCCAGGCCGAGTAGATATACTTAAATGTGAACCTGTGGGCGTACACTCCCGTCACCCTCGGCAGGTCCCACGTTCTCGTCTGTCTGGTCCAAAACACCCCATCACCCCTCGCCCAGAAGATACCAACCACCTGCTCAGGTGCCGGGCGCTCACCCCGGTTCACCTGAGCCCGGATCTCCAAGGCCGTGTAGATGACTGGGTCGATGTGGTCCTGCTCGCACGTGCATGGGTGAGTCCTGCGCTCAAGGGCCAGGAGCTCCTCCGGCGCGAGCTTAAACTGCTGGTCAGCGCCCCGGGGGATCTCACCGCTTGCGTGCTTCCTCCAAACCCCCCCAAACATCCGGAGCTCTCCCTGGTGCCGCTTCATTGCCCAGAGGATAAGGGACAGCTTGCCGTCCTCAGAGTCCAGGTCCTGCTGGGACATGGGCTGGTCCCCCCCCGGGGCCGGTGGCACCCTTGGGGGGGCCGGTGCCTCCAGCTCGGGCATCTCCTCCAGCAGTGCCTCCTGGTGCCACGGGTTCTGCGACGCTCTGAGCATCTTGATGTAGGGGACATACTTCTCCTTGATGTCCCCCACCGGGGGGATGTCGTCGGGGTCCTCCAGCTCCAGGGGGCATCATCCGGCCACGCCGACACTTCCAAGGGCTTGAGAGTGTGGTTGAGCATCCATGCCTTTGGTGTCCTGGATTTGCTTGTTTGCCGCCTGGGCCTCCTGAATGGAGCCCATCGCCTCAGCCAATGCCTGGCTGGCGTCAACGCCCTTCCCCTCCAAGTACTGGTCTCTCAGCTTGGCCTTGAAACGCTCCAGGTTGACCTTCCTGAGGGCACGGGCTCCCTCGTTGGCCACCTCATCTGACGGCAGGGCCTGCATGCCCTCCTGGAGGGGCGCCAGGATCGCCATCTCGTTGTCCAGCATCTCCTCTGGCCGAGGCCTCCTCCGGAGTCAGCTCCCGCTGCTCCCGCAAGGCCTTATTCCGCCTGGGGATGGTAGAGCTCGAAGCTCTGAGCCTCCGCCTCTTTCAGGGACCGCTGCACTTTGACCCGGATCTCCTGGCTTTCCGGGACCTTCATCGCCTCGTCATCCGCCTCCATGGACAGGATCTCCTGCCGGATGTCCACCCGCATGTTAAGCGGGACCGCATCTGCCATGGTGATCTCATCAGCCGAGTCCGTTTTTGGAGGGGCTCTCCCCAAGACCGTGCCGTCCACCAAGTTGCGGTCGGCCTGTGCCAGGGTACCACCGGGGCCAACGGCACCCAGGCTTCCCCATTCCCGCTGCTGGATCCAGATTGGCTTGCCCTCCAAGATGAGCAGGTTGTAGGTGATGCCGTCCGCCTCATAGGTGGCCGAGGGTGCCTGGAAGGGGGCGGACTCCTTGCCGGGGCAGACCCAGCACTGCTTGGCTGCCTCTGGCCACCCCGTTCCGCATGCCTTGCACATGAACTTGTAGTCGGAATGACCTGCGTCGAGCCTGTACATGCGGTGGGTGCCGATACACGCCTTGTTCCTCTGGAACTGCGAAGCCCAGACCTCCTCCTGGCGGAGCTGGATCTTCATCGGGACGTACGCCTCCAAGATGCGGATCACCAGGTCCTCCGTGAGGTTCTTCCCAACAAACGTGTAAAACAGGGAGACCGCCTCCTCCACCGTGATGTCTCTCAGCAAGGTGGCCGCCGACGCTGGAAGGATTTTCCGTCCACCGGCACCAAGGTGACAGGTTTGTTGGCCTGAGACGTAGCCTTCTGAGAAGCCGCCACAAAGCCCTTCAGTCTCTTCGTGGGTGGCGTCTGCGCCTCCTCCGGTGGTGTGGCCCGCTCCGTGCCGTCCGCATCCCCCATGTCCCTGTCGCCCTCCTCGGCGGGGCCAGGGGCACCCAAGCCGGGAGTCGGTGTGGCAAATGCCACTTGGAGACGCTCCAGTGCACTGGAGAGGTCATTCATCACATCGGTCGCCGAAGCTGACGGGGGGGCCTCGGGCTCGTCCAAAACCAAGCCGGCCGCCACTGCCGCCTCCCGTGTGCGAATGTCCTGGGCCTCCTGGCTGGCCATTTCAACCTCCTCCACGGTGAGTGTCTGGTCCTCAATCAACTCAAAGGAAGTTGCCGAGGTTGCCGAGGAAGCCATTGCTTGGTCGGGGTTAAGTTCGAAAATGCAAAAGATCAAAGTTTTTCAATCAGCTTGGGTTCCAGGAACCCAGAGCAATGCTTGAGCCAAAATGGCACATGCCATTATGGTCAAGCATTCCACACACAGTTCATGTTTCCACATGCGTTTCAACATTAACAAACAATCACAAAGTTCAAAGGTCTAACAAAATAGCAGGCTCCCTGTTGCCCGGGGGCGTCCCAACTGTCGGACGCAAACCGCGAAAAACGCCTTCATGCCGACCTCCTCGTCATCTGCCTAGCGGTCTCAGGGCCTGTTGTGTGCCAGAATAGGGAATTGGACCCCAAAAGGTGGCTTGCTTTTCGGTTTCCGTTTCAAGGTGAAAGGCGATCCTCAGACCGTTTCTGTTTCTCTCACCAACCCGGTGCTTTTCTCAGAGTAAACTTGCCCATGCGAAAAAGGAACCCCTTTTGTGCTTGGTTGATAGGGACCTTGGTTCCAGCCATCAACCCTTCGGCAGTTTTATATACCATGGAAGGTTTCTTCTGGTCTGCCATGGCAAGCGCCAAGCACGGGGCAAATGTTGCTTGTCTTCCTGCAGCCCTGAGGTGCCAGGCCTGGTTTCCGACACCAAGCTCTATGCGTCTCATGCTTCAAACATCGAGTGAGGGCTGAGTCCAGCGAATTTGTGCGGATGGCTTTTGCAGGCGAAGCTGCTTCTCCCCAGACGTGTCTAGCCTGAATCTCTACCCGACCCCCCCTCCACAGAACCTCCCTTTTCCCCAAGTAAGACCCCAACAAGACCTTGGTAGGGCCTCGGAGAAACACAAGAGATACCTTGGGGTCATGACCCCTTCTTGGGTAGATGACCCTATCTTTTGAGGGTCAGGGAGACTCCAGGAAGAAATACCCCAGCGCGAAGATCGCGCCTTCCGCAGAAGGAACTCGATGATCAAGTTGCCCTGGGGCGTCTCCGTGACCTTGTCATCCTTCTCCTGGCAATGGGACGCGGAAAACACGTGTTCACGAGCTCAGCGAAAACCAAACGAAACAAAGCCACAAAAGTGGTCCAACCCAATTTCCCAAAGGAACCTTCTTAGCTCTATCTGAAAACCTCGGGGGTAGGAATACGGGACCTCTCTATAGACAAAGAATGCCATGCAACACTGGAAAGGCAAGCTTGGGCGGCCTAGAAAAATGAACACGCATCGCCAGAGGGACCCGGTTGAAAAGTTTAAAAGGAGGCCAAAAGATAAACCCACATGCCCGCTTCTTGCTCCAATCGCGCGGACTGGTAAAAATGTCCACATCCCTGTTCCGTCCCACATCTCTGATTGGTTTCTTCTGAGACTGGGCTGAGGCTGCCAGGCTTCAAGCAACGACTCGCAAAGCAAAAACAGCTCACGGCGATGGCGCCAACCGCTCGAGCCGGAAGGCGACGTGCCTGAATCGTGCCTGGCGAGAGGGAACGCGGCTAGTCTCCCTTTCCTCATGGGCTCCAATGCCAAGAAACTGCTTGTGAGGATCATGGTCTTACCAAACATCGCAGGTCTATGGAGAAGTGAAACCTTTGACTAATTTGACCCCCGAAATATCTAACCCTCAAAATTCGAAATGAGAGCGGCTCACCCCTGGCTACTCCTCAATATCTCACGACGTACATTCGCAAGTGTACCTCTTTATTTAGGCCCGCCCGTCTATGGCTGGACAGAAACCGCTCTCCGCCGCAAGCCTTGTCTGGTGCCCTTTGTCTTTCGGCGGAAGCGGGACAGTTGTTCTGGCCTTGCTTCAAGGTTGTTGAAACCACAATCGAACGGCGCGTAGTTATACGCCCTGGTTCCAACATGCGAGACGCATCCATGCAGCGAGCGGCCCTCATCAAAGCCCATCCGCCAGCCACAGCATAGCCCTCCCAGGCTGTAGCCACTGGAAACATCGTGGCCAACATAAACACACAGGACATCAAAGTCCCAACAATCTGTAAGAAAATAATGTACGCACAGTGTGTGGAATTACGAAGGCCTTAAGATTCCTCATGGCATTGTTCTGTTTGCCGTGCTAGAAAGGGAAACTCAGCCAATGAGAAAACAAGCGCCACTGAACAAAGATCTGAGCAGTTTCAAGTCCGCCTATGAAAACTCCGAGCAATCCCAGGGGACGGTTTATCTCTTGGAAAAAAAACCTTTTCTGGTTGAAGACCAAGGAACGCCTCATGTGTTGAATCCCGATCGGAAGATTCAAGGGGCCAAGTGTAGAAGCCTTCAAATAGGATCCCTCTTCCTTTCAGGGTGTGGCGTGGTTTGCTTGCCAAATAGGGGGTGGGGGTTGTAAAGTATTCCACAAACCCATTTGAGGTCTCGCTTTGAGCACCCCTGGGACGGAATTGACAGGAGCATGAAGCCAATAACAGCCCTTTAAACTTTAGCAGGAAGCGAACTGTGGCTTTTGGGCGAACTCTTTAAGCAATCCTGCCCAATTGCACAAACCCGGCTGCAGCAACCAATGGAACCACCCATTCTGAAAGGAAACCTGAGGGTTACCTTTCTACTGGCGAAACGCCTGGGCGAAACGAGCCGAATCGCTAAATCGCCTTCGCATGGCTGGCCGGGCTTGGACATCTTCGCGCCCTAAGCAAAATCCCATGACACCTCTCGGGAAAGCGGCGACTCACTTCCTGCCCTATACTTCCCCTTGAAATATATCTCGCCTTACAGCGGCACAACAATGCTGAAAACGATGGGAAATATCCTGTCCTAGGTGGATTAGCCCAAAAGAGTTTGATCGATTGATTTGCAAAAGTCACCACTCATCTTGTCTCCCCAAATTTACCATTGAATAGGTCTCCAAAAAAGCCACTTGAGGTCCAGAAACTGCGGAAGTCAGAATCTGCCTATAACTCCCAAAGGAGAACACACCCAAAGACCCAAGAGTTCCTGAGTGAATCAATGCAGTGTGCTTTTTGCTATATACCCAGGCTCCAAACCACGTATCGGGCCCACTCGATAGGGGGATTCCCCAGACCCATGGTCACATGCTCCTTGTTGCAACTTGCAAAGGGCACCTCAGGTCTACTTGGCAACCTTCTGACCAACTGAAAATATGGAGCGAATTCCCAGCATCGACAAGCATGGCTACTGGATAACCCAGCAACAGTCCCTAGCGGAAACTGCTAACAGCCCGTTTAATTTGAACAAACCCTATAGCTAGTTTATCCACTAATCAGCAGACAACTGGGTCCGTTAAAGTGACATTTCCTTAAAGGGTTGCACCCCCAAACAAGACTTGAGACAAGCAAATACCAGACTTGAATGGGCCCAGGAAAACCTAGGTCCAATTTGTGCGCCGGAGCAGAACGGGGGCCCTGCCCGCTGGCACATCTCATGCACCTGTGACGCCTCAGCAAATGCATGTCAACCATAGTGGATCCAGCTACCCCTATGGATGGGGACATCTCCTATGGGTCAACCAGCCGTGCGTCGAAACACCACTGTACTACATAACCAGAGAAATCACCATGTAAGACCTGAAGGCAACGTGTCTGACGTACTATGCCTGAGGCCTGCAACTTCCATTGAGATAGCTTTGGCATGAGATTTGATCCTTCTAAACCAAGCAACCAGTGGTCCAAGTGGTAGAAAGCGAACTGGAACCATTTCTTCCTTGGGTCGAGACATGACAAAAATCAGTGGGGAACACAGCAAACAAAGACAAAGTATTCTACAGGTGTCACAGAACCACGGACTACAATGAGAGGCGCATATGTTCCTTAACGGTAAATGTACCCCGCAACCCCATTCCTAATGATTTAGCCCCCCCCCCCCCCCGGCAAAAAAAAAGAAAGAAGAGATGCGCTGCAACGCAAAGCCCAGGCTTCGTGATGTACCAAAGGCTTCCAGGCATGTTCAGTTCTTCCAGTTATCATTGCAGATAACAGAGAAAAACCTTAATGTAAAACCTGGAGGGAATCAAAAGGAAATGGCTCACTGGGCATCTATCTCAGATACTCCAGAAAAAACAACATACTGGAATTCTGCTCCTTGTCGAAAGTGGGCCGGACCTGCTGTCCAACTGGGATCGGGTTGGGGGCCTTGCCGCGCGGCAAATTCTGACAACCTGTCATCCCAACCTGAAGCACCTCGCAAATTCCAAGGCCAAAGAAGTTGCCATCTGCAGAACTAGCTATTGTGGATTCGCAAATCCACGCCGATCCGCAGTTGGGATGGATGAAACCAGAAAGACGGAAATGACCACCTACCAATTGGTAAATCCATGTTGTCCAGCGCAGTATGCAACTGCCACTTTACGCGAAAGGCGGTGTGCGACTTCAGATGGAGAAACCTATGGGCTCACCGACTTTCTGGCCACTGAAACCAAGCTTGCGGACTGTGCAAACGGTCCAAATGGTACTGTTAAGGTCCGAACAAATGGAGACATGCTGCTTTGTTGTGATGTGATCATGCCCACAACAATGCTAATACCATGGAAGGACCAAATCCTGCACCACCTTTCAAAAGGTTTCATCCAAGTGGTGAAAAACAAATCGGCCAGGCACAGTAGTACCCCACAACCCGTCACAACCCCATTCTAACATATTCTAACTATTTAGGCCCTTGCAACATCGGGGCGCCTGGTTCATTGGCAAAGGCAACCCAAAGCAGGCGCAAGGTGAGGACCGCGTTTCCGTCATGGGGAGTTAACGATAAATTCAAAGACTGGTACGTAGTAAGGGCATTTGTAGGTTGGTGTTTGAATGCGAGAAGGCTATACAACTTATTAGGAAATTAGGCAGTTCACCTTTTGTTAGTTTTGATTTTGATCATCACCTCCAGACCTCCAAGCAACACTAGATGTCAGTTTGTACTTTATGTGAGGGAGAGGACCACCATGGCGGATATCACGTTATGTTTCATATATGTTTGTTTGGTAGAAAGGCCCCTGTTTGCCCATCATTCCTACGCAGACTTTGGGTCGAGGCAAGCTGAACAAACCTATTGGGTCATGTCATTGGACGAAAAGCCCCCCCCCCCCCCAAACAAGCTTCATTGCTGCAGCACAACCGACGGAATATTTACCCCTCTCCAGAATTCAACCTTCGGCAGGGCCCTGCGTCAGACGGAAACACTACTGGCGGTCCAATTTCAGCGTTAGGTTCCCACATGTTGAGCCCTTCCTTTTTGCCAGCACAGCGCAACACTCAAAAAGGGCTTGCTTTATGCTCCACCACACAACCAGGGTTCTTCATATACCGACCGACGCACATGTGCGTATCTATGTGTATATATATATATATATGTTTCAGGTTGAACATCACGCCGTTCCAAGGAAGCAAACATCAATGTAAATGTATATGTCTACACATAAAACTGGTATCGTTCTCTCTACGCAAACACACAGTCAATCTCAATCCCTGAAACCAACGACGCGCCAACATAAAACCGGAGATTCAAAACACCATGAAAAACGCACACAAACACACACACAGACGCACACAAACAAGTGTAGGTGGCTTTCATCAAAACCCAACTTGAACCCACACGTCGGAAAAGCAAAATCCGCTCGAAGCGGCGCACAAAATTTCTGCCGCTTTTGGCTTCCGGGCGAGCCAAGCCTTGCGGGCGTCTGTGGGCTCCGGCAGAAGCTCCGCCAGGGGCACGCGATCTGGGGCCGGGAGGGTGGGGGGTTGTTTCGGGAAAAAAAAGGGGTGCTTTGAGGGGTCAAAATATGGCGTTCAACAAGAAGGTGCGGTTTGAAGAAGAAAGAATTGGACACCCAGAAATGGGGTGCAAGGAGTTGCTTCAGGTCTTGGATTTGTTTTGAGGCCGAGTCAAAACGCGTACCGATCTGAGAGTCCAAGGTCGGGGAAATGGGGAGGGCTTGTTGTGAGGATAGGAGAGAGATGGAAACGGGTGGGGCGCTGTCTTTCTTCAATCAATCCAACCCAATTGCCGAATGGAACTGGACTGCGTAAGATAATTTACCAACGGGACTTCCTGAAATTGCTTCTTGAAACTCAAGATTGTCAAATGCAAAGACGTTGGGCTCCGAAACCCTCTGACGTTTTCAGGCACGGCCTCTTAGGTGGCCATAGGTATAAGAGAGGGGCACCTTCTTTCTGGTAGTCGAGGGTTGGGCCTTCAAACATGTGGAAAGCCTTCTTTGCACAAGCACCTGTTCCCTTGCAAGAGGGCCATGGTCCAACGGTCGATTTCCTTAAAACATGACATGGGTGTCTGAGCATTTTGAGGGTCCCCCGACACCACAACCCTGGAGAACCCCTGCGAAGAAAAGGAAGGGACATCATGGCTCCCGACCTTCTGACGGAGAAAACAACAACAACAACAGCAAGCCCAGGCTGCCCAACGGAGATGCGGCTCCTGACGAGCAAAAGCTCTGAGCATCGGAAGATCTAGCAACTCATTTCCTAGTGGATGTGTCAAAAATAGGCTTGTTGTCTACCACTCAAATAACCTTCCGGAAAAGTATCGAGTCCTGAAGTGAGCTGAGCTCTGGGCATTGACACTCAGGATCTTTGCAGCGCACGGCGAAACAGCTTTGTGCACAGAGACTCGCGCAGGGCCAACAACAAGCTGCATGAAGATTTGCACGCGAAATCTCTGCAAAGGGTCGTTTTGGCACAATTGGCAGGCACCTCAATTTTTTGTGCAGCATGCAAAATGTATAATCTGAGAGTCACGGGCAGCGGAAAAGACGCGCTACCCAACACCCATCTGGATTGGTGTTCATTCGCAGAATCTGCGCAAACGGCTGCACAGACCGCCCTGACAAAACAGTACGCACCACATTCCCAGCGCACAGAACCTGCAACAAAGGCAGTACGAAATGCGTAAACCACTGCCTTTGAATTGGCGTGGATCTGCGCAGGCCCCACGGGCAGCTGAGAAAAATGTGTTTCCCTTGGTGTTTTCTGCTCATCAGCACGAAGAATTCGCCGGGGAGGGGGGGGGGGAAGTGTCCTGCCGCGCGGACTCTTGAAGTTGCTCATGCGTGTCTAAATCAAGTCTTATGGATGGCTTCAAGTTGATGAGGCACGTCTGGATTTCATGAGATTGCACAGCCAGCCCCCAAGCCATTCATTCAGGCTGCAGACCCTCGTCAGGAAAACAATGGACTGGCAACAACATGGTCAGTCTCTCTGGTGCAGATTGTTCAAAAAGAAAAGGCACAGGGAAAGAAAAAGGTCCAAATTGTCAATTGGTCTCTAAAATACAAGGCTCTAAATAAGTAGAATCAGGGTTGCAAAGGACTTCAAGCAGCAAACAAAGTCATAATATGGTGATGTGTATTGTCTCAGCCCAATCTCTCCTCCATCGGCTGCAATCCCGCCCGCACTGGCAACAGGCCTGCGGACAGGACGAGACAAAAAATTGCCTTCAGATCCCAAGTCCAGGCTTTTCCTTGCAGGTAAATGAAATCACAAGGTTTGGCTCTTGGAAAATTGTGGTCCCCTAAAATGGCAGCACTTCCCTTTCCGTGTCCCTTCAAATACCGAAAAGGCGTGCAGTATTTCGAGAAACCCTCCAGTGGATCCAACTGCCCCTATAGTGGGTAACCAGGCGAAACAAACAAGTGTAACTAGCGGTACAACAAATAAGGGTCATGTCTTTCCCAGTGCTGCCTGCTACAACGATAGGTAGCAAGAGCTTTCTACTTTCTACGTCTATGCCTTCCATGGCTGGACTGGTTGGTGCCAACTGGAAGAACTGGGGTTTCAGCCAAATCTATTCCCTTGCAGTCAAACCTTGCAAGTATCACTAAACCTTGTGAACACGCCGATACATCTAGATGCACTGCTTAAACACGAACAAAACTCCAGGTTGTGGGAAACGCCGCCTACTTCGGTGATACCAATGCAATGTCTTCCTACCTGTTTCTCCCAAAGGGAATGGTTCCTGGCATGAAACCGTGGGGAAGAAACCACCAAAGAGCCCTTCGCACACCAAAAACCACTCAGTCGCTGGTGTCCATACCTCGGCTTTTTCCCGGCCTCGCGGCCAAACACCCTCCTGGCCGGGGCTAAGGGCAGATCTTCTCAGGAAGGGAATCAGAGGCCCAAACCACTGAAGTTCCATTGGTAGCTGACCCGAACGGGATATGTTGGTTCATTGCTTGAAGCAAAGGAGGGCTTTGAAAAAGCAAACTGCAGGCGATAGGATTGTGCCTTTTGAGGGTACCCTTTTTGGGGCAAACGGAAACCAAGAGAAAAGCACCAAACAAGGGGGTCCCCTGTTGTGCCACACCCATATTTGGATAGAGTTCTCTTGGGGTTACCATCAACGAGGTTTCTACGCTGATAAAGGGATTCCAACTGGCCAAAAGCTAAAATTTGGGTGGAAGCTACCTCCACCCGCAGGAACAAAAGGTGGCAGCTTCCTTTTAGCCAATCACTTTGGCACAATGCAAAACAAGCCGACAGTATCATTGAATGTTCATCACTGCGTCAAAGTCAAAACAGAAATCTGCCTACAAGCCCCAGTGCATAAGCCTGCATAGTGCCATGGCATGCTCGGGAGGCAGCCTTTCTTCTTTCTGGGATACACCTGGAAACAAGTCAAGCCCACATTGCCCTCCTTTACATTAACATGGAACCTAACACCATCTTTTTGAGAGGAATCTCCTTTCGGGTGACACGCTTGTTCGGTTCCATGTTGATTTGCAGGAGAGTCAGGCTCATATTCTCCAAAGCGATCCCTTGGTGTACCCTCCCCAAACCAAGAAAAAGAGTCTGATACGCTGAACAGGGTGACCTACACGTCTACCATTGATCACTGAATTCCCGTTGGCAACTGATTTAAACCTCGCGGCTCCTCTCTCCAGGTTCCTTTCAGACCAGTGAACTATGGGTACCATGCTCCCAAAATCCGCTTGCGCTGTGCCCGGCCCAAAAATTGAGAAAAGCCCAAAGAAGTTGAAGAGGCGGGTCTTTGGACTCGCTCCATCCTCTGAGTAGATATCCAGATCAACTCACTTCAAGAAACACGGCGGGCACTTCAACATGTACCAAATTCAAGACATTCAGGTATGTGTCAAAATAGAATCAAAATGATGACTTGCCGCACCCTCGAACAACACAACCCCATTTCTCCTCATGCTTGCGCTGTCAACCCCAACCCCATGGACATCTCCAAAACCCCAAGCCCAGTCTGCAGGAAAACTGGCTGGCCACTCTTTCGATTGGCTGAGCCTGAAGGAACACAAAAGCGGAAAAAAAAACAACAACAGGGTCTCGCTTTCTTTTTGGCTGCTTGATTCTGAAGGAAAACCCACCAAAAGCAGCGGGCGTCCCGCCTTTCCCGACGGCAACGGATCGACCAATCCCAGGATTGGGGCAGGTTGGGGCATCCTGCAAGGGTCCAGGCTGGTGCCGCGCTTCTTGTTTTGGCCAATGCTGTAGGGATACTCCTTGCCAAATTCCTACAATTCACAAACCGCACAAAAAATCGGAATCCCCAAACAAGCCTTCATCATTGTTTGAGCTCCTCTGTTGCATGAGCGCTGCTATTTGCCCCAACGAATACGCACATCTCGATATGGCCTTCAACTCCTCAACCTTTCCAGGCTGATGCCTCAGACATTTCAAGGCAGTTTGCAATATTGTTCCCCCAAAAATAACACCCATGTCTGTTGTCGAATCAACCCCTTTTCCAAGAACACACCATGTTTAGGAATTTTCGTTTTGGGGGGAGAGAACAGTGTCGAGGTTTCAAATCATTGATTTGCTGGAAACTATGTACACGAGGGAACTTCCAGTGATCCCAAAGTGCAATATACCCAACGTTGAAACATCGCGGTTTCAAGCGACGAAATCCCCAGAATGTCTTCTTCATAGTTTCCTAGCCAGTTACCTACAGTCAGGCATGAGACAAGCACTTGATGGAACGTGCTTCGACCACTGCGAGTGGATCCAATACCACTATGGCAGGGAATCTTCTTCTGGTGTCTACATGATGAATTTTGCTCACCGACTCTGAGTGCCTTATTCAACATTTAAGATTCCCCTCGAAATATCCACGTGCTCTGTAAACCAAACTTGTCAAACCCTCCCAGTTAATCCAACACCATTTCCGTGGTGATTCACACAGTGATTCCATCCGGTCGTGACAGGGCGAACCAAGCGGTTCCCTCTTCAAAATAATTTGGGGATTCGCCCTCCCCCAAATACTTGCAAGCCTTCTCCGCATGAACCCAAAGTGTTTGAACCGGTAGCTGGATTCACCTGTCGGAAAACGCGTCAAGCCAACCACGACAGTCTGTGTCTTGCTCGCGCTTCAGATGGACAAATTGCATAGGCGATTCCATTTGGCAGAGTTTTGGCTCGCAAATGTACATCTGAGTGCACCACTCCGTCGAGAGCTTGCCTGGTCAGAAAAGAACAAGCGCCGGCATTGTTCTATCTGTACTTCTCCCATTCTTTCCAGCGGGTTATTGTCCAATTTCAGCAGCCCAACTGTCTCAATCTGTGTTTGTCGCATTGAGCGCGAGCCAAGTGAAAACAAAAGGCCAAACTAATGAGTCTCTTTCCGGCTAGGCTTGTCGGGTTGATATCGGAAGCCTTTATGCCAATTGGAGAGCTGAATTCAAGCATCAAAATCTCCCATAACTATAGTGGTCTTCCACTTGTGCTTTTGATGCCATCTAAGCACACAAAATCATAGCGGGAGGCAAATACTCCGCCCAGAGTGTATCAAATCCGATGAGCCAGAAGAACACACCTCCGTTTGGCCCAAACGTCAAGTCAAACATCCCTTAGATGTCGCAGCCTGTAAAGCAGAAGTGCATGATCAAATCCAAGACAAACATCACCTCAAGCGAATTGATATGGGTGTCAACAAAAAGGACTTGGACCCTCAAGCAGGGACCAAAACTAGGTCCTCCAGTAGGGAGGTTAGAATAAGGGTACCCTTTTTTGTGTAGTCTACTGTAGGGGAACCCTCCCCTAAGAAAGGGTAAAAGGGCACTGCGGGACCTAGAAAAGGTGACACTTAAAACCACCAAAAGGGAAGTATGGACCTCAACAGGGACCAAAAGGTGACGCTTAAAGCCACCGAAAGGGGAAGTATGGATGTGGCTCAAATAAATATAGCACCTTGGTAAATGAAGCCAAAGACTAAAACCTGCGTAGCCCCAGCTGCTGGATTTTGAGCCACACCCATATGGGGAACCGTGAGGAGTGGGGGGCAGGCGCGAATCGCCCCGCGTTTTCGCGCTCTGAGCTGCGCGCCCAGGGGGAACTTGGCAGGTGTCAACCTGGGCAAATTTGTCGGTCGAAGCCCTTCACAGCCCTTCACAACACCATTCTGCATCACAAAAACACAACCTCACTCTCCAAATGTACATGGACCCCTAGAAAACCATCATTTGAGTCACAATCAACACCAGGGATTAAAATGGTCTACCCAGCACCATGTAAAGAATCAAGAAGGCGGATATCCGCTATTTCTGCTTGGGATTGTCCCTTACTACCCTTCATCTACCCGGGATTTGAGCACGTGGCTCACCTGAGGCCCTCAAAAGCGTGCCTTGTGGTTGCTCAAAATGAGTGGGACCCCCCGGAGCCAAAACCCAAGCGAGCGCATCTGGGACCGCAAGTGGAACGTGTTCAGTTCACGAGCGTCATAAATGTATGTTGACCAACAAAAACACAAATATGGCTTGATTCATGTTAAGCAAGAGTCTTCAAGCGGGCGAAAAACCCCGCCATGCAATCTATTTTGGAAGTTCCCAACTGGATACTCGGATGGCTGGCTCTGCGAGCTAGCTGAAAGGGGCTCCCCAACTCGAAACTGGTCAAGGTCAGCACGTTGCCTAAGAGACCCAACCCCCGACCGCAATCCAAGGAAAAGAATGGCGTGAGCGCTGCGCCTGACCTGGGGAAATGCTCTCCTCTCACCTTCCTTTTTGGGTAGTTGATCTTGAAGGGGAATGTTAGTTTGTTTGTTTTGTGGGGGGGTTACCCAGCTTCAATTAAAGGACACCATAGCTCCACCGGGTGTTTCGGGCCTTCATCTACCCGTTTGGCTTTGCTTGTCCAACGGCTACTGTTGTTCTAAATTCAAAACGTCCTCCTGGCATTGTTGGACAATCCACAACTGGACAATCCACAACTGGACCACTTGACCAATCTCATGGTAGGCACGTTTGGGTTACCGCCCAAAGCACCAACACAAACCAGGCAACTTGCCCGGATTTCCAACAACAAACAACGAGAGAAGAGGGCGACCTCTGCAGTGGAGGCGTGTCAGTTTTCTTCAAGCAGCCTCGCTGAGGGGAGTTCGGGGAGGCTATCTGTCACAAGCATTCAAGTAGGCAGGCAGGCAAGCAAGCAAGCGAGCAACCAACGAAGAAACAACCAAAGAAAACCACAAGCAAGCTGGAAACAAAACCAAACAAAGAACCCCACAAAGTCAAAAGAAGGAACACCATACAAAGAAAACCACGCAAACAAAACCAATCAAACACAGACAGACAAACAAACAATCACAGAATACCATACACCAACGAATGCATTGCAATACG